TCCTCCCATTCCTCCCATTCCTCCCGCGCCGCCACCAAACGCACCGAACAGGTCGGCCAAGTTGATGTCAGGCCCTCCTGCGCCTCCGCCTCCATTGGAAAAGTGGAACCCTCCAGCGGGGAACCCGCCTCCACCTCCGCCGCCAAAAGGTGAATCGCTTTCAGGATCGTCTGCTCCCATATCGTGCCTTTTCCTCTTCTGATCATCCGACAAGACACTGAAAGCTTCGTTTGTCAGCTTGAACTTTTCCTCGTCTCCGCCCTTGTCTGGGTGATGTTTGAGCGACTCTTTACGATAGGCCTTCTTAATGTCTGCTGAGCTCGCGTCTTTGGGCACGCCGAGAATCTTGTAGTAGCTGCGCGCGAGGGCGACGAAAAGACGGGTCAGCGAACAAAACGCCTTTCACCTCGAGCTGGCAAATCGTACTCACTCCTTCTTTTTGCTCCTCTTCAAATCAGCTTCAGCAGACCTGAGCTCTTGCTTCAAGGCGTTGAGCTCCGTGGCATTGCCCGAAGCCTGACTCTCTTCTACAGCCGCTTTGAAGTCTCGAACGGCCTCCTCGTAGTTCTCGTTCTTCAACTTTGAGCGTGCACGGGTGCGAAGAGCCTTGGAGTAGCCTGGGTTCAAGTTGAGCGCGCCATCGCAATCCGTAATCGCCTCCCTGTACTTTTCCAATTTGTAGTTCGCTGTCGCTCTATTTGAGTAGAGGAGCGCCTTGAAGCCCGCCACTTCTCCTTCGGCAGAGATGGCTTCATCAGCAGCTTGCAACGCGTCAGTGTATCTGGTGAAAGTGCATGGTTAGAAGTAAGGTCAAGTCGCATGTAAGCGGCACGGCAATCGCACTCACAGTTTGATCGCTTCTTGCAAGCTGCCCTTCTTGAACGCTTCGTTGGCCTCATTCTTGACAGCTTCGAGTTTCCTGCATCGTTTGAGGAGCGCTCGAGCGCCGGCATGCTCCGGATCAGACCTCAAAGCAGCTTGACAAGTCTTGACAGCCTTGTCCATCTCTGTGCCACGCGCACAAAGGATCCGTGCGCGCATGAAAAGAGCGTCTGGCTGATTAGAGTCTAGCCTCAACACATCCGAGACGGATCCATTCGCTCCATCCATGTCGCCCTTCCTGAGCAAGAGCTCTGCCCGGAGCAATCGCCACGCCACGGGCACTTCCGAGACTGCCCTTTCGGCTTGTGAAAGTGCCATCTGCGCATGACTCCAATCCTTTGCTTCTAGACTCTTCCTGAACGTCTCGAGATGAGATCTGGTCGATCGAACCTGTTGCTGAAGCGATTTGGCAGCATCCAGACCTGGATCTATGCCACCCGCGTCCGTAATCTGAGAGAGAACAGTGTCGGCTGCGTCCAGCTCGCCGAGCGAGAAGTGGCACCTAGCTAGCCGAATGAGCGTCTTGGCCTGTGGTGATGATGATTGCAAAGCGGCAGCCTGCTGACAGTCTGACAAGGCGAGCTTGAATTGCTTTTTGCTCATGTACGCTGCTGCTCGGTTGGTATAATACGAAGGTTCCTGAGGGTTCGAATCTGCGAGCGAACATCGATTCTGAAGTGTGAGCAAGAGCTACAAGACGCAAGGAGCGTGTGTACTCACCGATGGCTTGTGTGTAAAGCCTGATCGCCTCGTCGTGTTGGCCTGCTCTGAAAGCATCGTTGCCCTTGTCTTTAGCAGTGGCAGCCTCGGCCTTCGCGGCTTCGCTCACTCTATGGGATGAAAGATCATAGTGTCAGCTCGATTGCCGAGAGATGAGGCAGCTTGGTTCGACGGGACTTACGTTCCTGCGTGTCGAGAAGGACCTGAGGTGTTTGTGCCGCTGACATTGGGCGCATCCGTCATCACTACATCTTCGTCCGCCATCTTTGTTCTGTGCGGGCACGTGTGCTCAGTGCGTGGGTCTCGAGTGGGTAGAGTAAGCTGATCCTCGAGGTGACGCCCTTGTTATGACTTTGATTGTGGAGCAATGGAATGCACAATCAAGGTTCATCGATGCTGGTGCGAGGTGGACATCGATGTCGGGTGCCGTCTCTGGCATCACAAATTCGCTGCAAGCGTCTCGGTCTTGTAAAGCTGCACGCGAGCCGTCCCAGTCGCGCGTCTTCTATCAGCGTGGAGGCGCTTCCAGAAGAAGGCCGACGAGCAAGAATGTTTCGAGATCAATCTGCAAGAACAAATCACGTGGCTTTTTTGTGATCGGCGCTCGAAGTCGTAAAAATCGAGTCACCATGGCGACTGTGAATTTGAATCTTGGATCTTGAATGTAAAACGATCGATGAATTTGTTGAATTCATCATTTTCACGAGTCA